TGCTAGGCAAAAAAAGAGTTATGGAGAAGCCCACGGCAAAAAATGGAGTTACAGAAATCTGTTTACTTAATAGCAGAGCTATTACATCCACGCAATCCTACTGGGGAGGAAAGACAGTAAAGAAGTGTAGCAGGCCAAGTCATGAGGCCTTCACTGACCATAAAAAAAGCAGCATTCAAGAAACAGAAACTAGGTCGGATTACTAAGGTAGAGCATAAAAACTACCACAAGCACATGGGGGCAAGATGCTAGATAGGATAGACAGCAAAATACAAAACCCAAGAGAAGCAGTGTCATTTCACATCAAAAGCCTGCCATGACCAGAAAAAGGCAGGTGTGTTAAATTCTTCTTCTTTACTAAAGTCAACTGAGTAAATTGCTAACAAAGTTAATAGCAATGCAGAGTAAAGAAAACTGTAAAAGGTTACAAAGTACTGAAGAATTAACTTCAGTTTTAGAAGTATTATTAATAGCTTATTTGTTCTAGTAAGCATTTAAAAGGAGACAGGGAAACAAAACAAGAAGTCAATGTTAGCTAAGAACAAAACTGCGTCAAACAAATTTTGTTTTATGGTCAAAGGAGGTCTTCTGGATAGCTAGCATAGAAAGAAACTCAGGTTTGTTTTACCTGGTTAAGACTTTTAACACCACCATGCACGGTGAAGCCACTGAGGTTTCAGAAATTTAGTAAAGCCTTCTCCCCCACTCTGCTGAGATCAGGTTTATTACTGAGGCATCACAAAAGTTAGCAGATGCTCTATATTCACATAGTGCGTGTAAGCTATACAAAGCTGCAGCCTTCCATTGCAGTCTTACATCAGGCATCTTTTTCATGCTCTATCAATGAGAGCCAGAGGTCTGTCATTTGAATGTACATTTGCTACTGTTTGGAAACAGACTACTTTACAGAAGCTCCTGTTCAGAATTAAAACAACGCTGGCTCATCCCTTACTAAGCTGCTAACTAAGCTTCAACATAAGCTGTCTAACTGGAGAATATAATTAAATAATATCCAGAACAACCACTCCTAAAGTACATTTTGCTTGCTGTTTGCCGTATGAGACTGCACATTCAGGACTAGCAATGCTTGCCCACCAGTTGTTCGCTCCTCAACGATGTACTGGCACATGCATATGCGCAGCTGTGCAGTGAGCCAGATTTCTTCACAGAAGGAAGGTCAATTACTATCAAATGTCTGAACACAAGCCCTGTGCCAAAATTATCCAAACCACTTTATTATTCTAGGTTTGTAAGCCCATAAACAAACAGGTTCAGACAATAGGAGTTGTTACAAGGTACTAAGAAAGTGCAACGTGACCTAGGTCTTACAAAAATACTCCTGCAAAAACAGGATCAGTAATCAAGTCCTTTAAATAGCATAAGGGAAGACTTGAGCATTGCCACAGACATCATGTGTGTTCTCAGGCAAGTCATATAATCTGTCTTCACTCCCAAACTTTAAAAAGAAGGACGACCTCTTCTTTTTTCAGTTCTGTCATGACATTTACCATTCTCTCTTTCTGAACACAATACGATTATAAAGAATCCCACAGAAATATCTGTAAATAAGAATAAAAAGCACATACAGCTCCATTTTTTAGATTTCATTATCCTACTGATTTGCAGCAGTTCATGTATTTCTTGGGATGAAAGAGGAGTCTCAGTCTTCACAAAGAACCCAAAATACCCAATTGTCATACTTCTCCTTTTGTGCACTTACAAAGACAATTGATCAGAGTTTTTGATGGTACACTACCACACTAAAGCTATATAATTGGATATTTAAGTCCAGTTTTCTATTGCAAGCTGTAAGTTCTCCAGAGACACCTCCTATAAGCTTAAACATCAACTTAAAAAAGACAACTAAAAAAACCCTAAAAAACACAGCAATGCATCAGTTTTTAAGGAGTATAACTGACCAGTAAGCCATCAAATATGGTACTAAAAAAAAAAAGTATAAATTGTGAAAACAATTAATGTATCATGGTGGAACAGGGGGAAGATACATCCTTATAAACCAAACCTGGCAACACACAAAACAGTAGCGCAAGTTCAAGCTTTCAGAAAAGGATGACTTACAACAACTGTCATTTTATGAAGCGGTTCACCCTCTTCAATGATTTTGTGCTCTGTTTCATGGTCATATCAGATTACTCAAAAAGGATAAAAATAAATTTTACTTCTGTCAATCACGTACGCTAGAGGCAGCTCTGTCATGCCCATCAGAATTTCACTTGTTTTCTTGCGATAGGCAAGAATACTGGAAATGTACAAGAAAAAACAATCT